AAACATTTGCAAACCGGAAGGGAGTTATGTAAATGGGTCAGTCATTAAGGCCTTCTAAAAGAGAGGAGGCCAGATTGGGGCCAGGGGCAGGCGGGTAGGCAAGTAGGGAACATAAACCCATTATGTGAATGGGCTTCTCTGTTCAACGCAAATTCCCCTTTCTTTTTCCTTTTTTTAAGGCTCAGATTTTGGTTTCAGGGTACAGTTGTACACTTACATTACAGTCATCACTAATGCAGTCATTACAGCATTCACTGCAGCAATGAGGCTTTTACGTGAATCATCCTTCTAGGGTATCTTCCCCGGGTGGACACTCATTGTTATTTAGTGTGCTCCTGTGTTTTTCGACTACATTAACACTGCAGGCAGTCACAGTTAGTTCATCTAGAAAATGTACGCATAAGATTTAAAAACTAAAAAAAAAATCATCATTTACAATTTGAACTCGCAACAATGTTGAAAAACATTTGTCTATTTATCTGAAATTGTCTAAATTTAGGCTTTTCCACCCTTAGAAATCAGGTCAGATTTTTGGCTTTCTAACATTAGCATAGATGCATTGCCAAAACTATGACAAATCTCTAAGGTGCAACTTGGGCCCAATTCATTTGTACCAAATCCGCACATCCAGCTGTGTGTGGATGGAACTTTGGTCATTTCAGATAAAAAAAAGACCATCTGATCTGACTTATTCTTCCAAAAAGATAGGTTTTGGCTTTAATTACTGTCATAATTCTACACTTCAGTTATGTCTCAGCTGTTGGCCACAGTTAATGAGACATCAAGACATTCCTCTGAGACATAAAGTTGTGTTGAAATAACAACAAGAAAACTGTTTTGTTTTAATAAGACTTTGGGAATCAGTGGTAACATTCGCAAGCTAAGCTAACTAGCTTTTTTCCGTAACGCCTTCAAGGAGAGTCTGTCTGAAAGTGTCAATATCCATTTGTAAGTACGATTACTTACATCATGACCACAAGGACATGCCAGGTGGAGGCTATAATGGCAGACACTTTGACCCTGCCCTTTACTGTGGCAAAAGCATAAACACTTTTGCCTTTAGACATGGTGGTGACATGTTAAACAAACTGGTTCAGTTCAAGCATACTTAACCCTTTTAAAACATAATAATACAACAGGGGGAAAAAACTGATATTGCGAAATTGCTACTTCAATCGCTACAGGCTTGGAAGCAGAAAATGCTCCACAATATAAAGTATATGTGGGTTTGCGGTATTGCAAGCTCCTGTCGTAGAGCCTGTTCTGGCAGCTGTACCTCACATAGCTTTTTGTCAGTGATACAAAAAAGAGAGGAAGAGAGAGACAAACATCCTGTCTAATGTGACACTTATCAAAGCTTGGGGTGTAATTAACACAGGTAAGGAAGTGCACACCTGAGCACTGGCTGTCAGGAGGCAGGAGACAGCTTGTAGCTTCAAGGATTTCAGAACGAACATGCAAATGTGGCCTGGCACACAGAGGCTCTTGTCGCAGTACAGGTTGTGCTCAAGTCTACTCTCAGTCTTGAGTAGATATCTGCCTTAGATTTTTTTTTTTTCCCTGATACAGGAAATGTTGATTCCTGGCTAAAAAAGTACATCACTGTACCATGTATTACATTATCGCTTTCCACTTAAATGAAACTACCATAAGATGTCATTGTCCATTACTCTGAAGTGCAGAGGGCAATGATCTGAATCCCTGATTGTTTTTTCCACCTTTCTATAAAGATTAGTGGCTGCAGGAGCATGATCACGGGAACTACTACTACATATAATGTTTAACTTTACCAGTAAAACTATACTGGAGACAAATCTCAAAAAAAGTCTGTGTTTTTACTTACCCTACCCCTTACTAAAATGTGTGCAACCGGTGCCTCCTTGTGGTAAGACATGAAATGACAATAACGCCCACTCATTACAATCAGTCTTAATGCTGCATACTAGACTTGGGTAAAGCTGATGGTGTTTGAAACACCTTTTCTGTAGTTGGTGAAGACTAAAATATTTCAGTAACTTTTAAATGGATTGACATGACATTTTGTACAGACCTTCATGTACCCCAGAGGATGAATCCTAATGACTTTTGAGATACAATGACTTCACATCTACAGCAACCAGCAAGGTTTTCACTTATCCAGTCAAATATCTCAACATCTACAAGATGGAAAGATAGAAACTAGGCACCCCTATCACCGATTTCGATGTGATGTGCATTTTGATGCATTGCCAACAATATAATACAATAAAGATACAAATGAAGCAACTACCAATGTGGTACGATACGATTCACCCCATTACATTATTCAACACGTGATTCAATTTGATAAGACATGATGCATAAAAATAAGCATAAGCTATACAATTTAATATGGTGCAGATTATTAGGTATTTGTTTCTCTAGTAACGTTACGTTTTTCTATATCTCCCTGTAGCTTTTATGTTTTTTGTAAAGCACTTTGAATTGCCTTGTTGCTGAAATGTGCTACACAAATAAACTTGCTTTGCCTTACACCATCCGTGCACTATGAATACACGGATGGTGTACTGTAAGCAGCTTTAGTAGAATAAACTAAAGCCAATGAAATAGTCGCAACTCTCTCCAGGCCAGAGTATAAAAATAAACATGTTGTTTTCATTTTGCAACGTCTATCAGATGACTGTTTTGAGTTTTAGTTCCAGATCCAAACCCGATAAAAGTACCAACACCTCATGCTTCTCAGTTTCGAAAAAAGTTTCCACTGGCTTTGAGTGTGCGTTTTCTTTATCAGATCATCAGTTATGTTTTTTTTTTGGAGTGGGGTGTGGGGTGCTGTTAACTGTTTTTGCACAGTTTGTCTACTTTGGCACAATCTTATGCTGACATAGAGTCACTTAATGAGTGATTTTTCTGCCCCTTGACCAGTAGTGTCATCTTACATAAAACCCAAGCTTTTAGACATAGGTCGCTGTGTAGGGAGAGAGGGCCTAGTTAATAGCCTGAGGCACTGATCTAGCAGAGAGCAAAAAGCACTCCCCGAGCAGTGCTAAAGAGCCTCTGGCTTATATTTATAAAACCTCGCCTAGTGGGATCGCTGAACTCGGATCAGTGGATGGGTCACTCCACCATTTAAACTTCAATAAAAGTAAAATGGGTCGCAAATCACCACTGTGAGTTTTGGAAAGACTAGATCATAAAAATAAGATATCAGCTCATCAATGAAACACGAGTTATTTATTTAAATGGGAAACGGTATTAGATAAATATTTTAGAATACTTTGGCTTTTAGATTTTATGGATAATAAAGATGTCTTCAAAGAATTGTGGGCCATTCAACTTAAATGATTTCAGGCTGGTCCTGCACTCCCAGACTTAAACTACTGCTGCCTCACGCATACATCCCCTCTGCCTGCCTCTAAACTCATGACGATCACTGTGAGGCAAATTCAGAACGAGGCAGGAAGTAAAAGGCAGAATGGATAAAATGGAGGAAAGCCGGCGCGTTGCTATAGTTTACTCATTGTGCCGTCCCAGTCAATGTGGGCAAAATCTGGAATCACTTCCTTTTTAAAAAATGGAATAAGATAATCAATATAGTGAACAGGAACCTAAACATGCAGGACATGCTTGAGTTGCAGTAAGACAAATAAGGAAAGTGTGCTGAGCTGCCGAAGCAGTATTTGGCTCCATCTAGTGGACAAACTCCAGCAATGTAGCCACTCTCACTTGCCAGTGCCATCAGCGTCCAGATGGTTCACCAGAAATAAACTTGAAACATGTTTAAAAAGGAGCAAATCGAAATGATTTGGACTTGGCTCCCCTCTTTAGGCAGGTTGCTCCAGCACCACGGGGCCCTAAAAGCTAAGGCTTGGTATCTGATGGTGTTGAGCCTGGATTCTGGCACTGCCCATGAGGAAACATGAAGGTTTAGAAGGACTAAAAAAAAAAAAACAACAAAAAAATAAAACTAAAAAAAAAGGAGCTCTATAATGTATTAGAGCCCAGAACATTAAGTGCCTTAAAAGTTTACAGTGCCCTACTCGATTTTTTTCTTTCAACAATGGATGAAATAACTATGTAAACTGACAAACTGACAAAGGGTCGCTTATAGTGACAAACCCTGGACATACCAACCCATGGATTCAAAATGTACATTGAGATTTAATAGTAAACACAGTTTTGCAGATGCCTTGTAGAGGTACCCGCGGATCTCAGGGCTCTTTAATTAAAAAGGTCAGTAGGTCTCATCAGGATGTACAACATACAGGACGTGGCAAAATAATTAAATTAATAGATATACAAACGTCATGGTGACATATTATTTTGTCGATACGCACATTATAAAAATAGTTTCACCCAAGAATTGACCCTTGCAGCACTCCAGAGATGAGTGTTTCTGATATTTTAGAGATCTTACAGACAGTAACAAATAACATTTAGTTGACACATTATGAGACCAAGAGTCTACAGCCACACTAGCACCTCTGTGAGGCTGTACCAGGGCATAGCAGTGACATGAGCTAAATGCTAACATGCTCACAATGACAATACTGACATGCAGCTATAAAGTTTATCACAGTAGTTAAGCATGCCAACAGTTGTTAATTAGTGTTATTAGCAAAGTACGGCTAATACTGATGGGAATTAACAGTTTTGTTGGTATTTGGTCATAGACCACAGCACTGGACATGTTAACATATTGGCCTAGATCACAAAAGTTATTACAACTCATCCTGAGGGGAACCAAAAAGTTCCAAACTGAATGGCAATCCATCCAGTATCTGTTGAGATTTCAGTCTCATCCATTTCTCAATTGCTTTCTTAAACATTGAAGCAGTATTGGCACTTCTATATCCTTGTGAGCAAACATTCACTTGGCCCATTGTGGCATAGGTGTAATAAAAGTGCTCAAATGCCATAAAGATTATGCGCACATGCGTAGTTGTTGCTTCATTTGAACCTACTACACTTAAGGCTATAAGTGCAAAAACATAACACAAACAAAACAGAATCCCTGGAACTTAACTGGCAGGCTTTTGAACTTTATTGGCATTTCTGCAAGACACCATCTGTCAATTTAATTCCAGTTAGGATAAATGCATAACAACTTTCAGAAGATGTTACAAGGATTATCTTGGACAAAAAGAAAAATAAAATATTTGGCTGCCGTCTCATTTTTTTGTCTTTATTTATTTACAAAGAAATGTATTCGCACAAGATGAATCCTAACATTACCTCACTCATTCAGGCGGCTAAATCATGCAGCAGAGCTTAAATTGGTTGAAAGATGTTGATATTGCTGAAAGAGGCTTTAGTGGGATATAACCAACCAAATAGTCAAAAAAACACGGGCAACACTTAAGCTGTCACAGTTTAGGCCTAAAAGCGATGAAACAAGACACACAACAACAAAAATAAAATAATAAAAAGTGCAAAAGGCAAATTATCCATTTGGGATGATTAAAAATTCCAGTTAAAAACTTGGATGGCTAAGATAAAAAAATTTCCACCACACCAAGTTAAGCAGATTCACAAATCATACTGTACAGAAGTTCTTCAAAGTGCAAATATTATGAATTGGCAGAAGCTGGTATATACATTTCATTTTTTGGAGGACAAAAATAATCAAAAAGCATGTTTTTATTTGTCCAGTCAGGCTCCATTTTCATGGCGCACAAGCTCATAGACTTTTCATATATTCCACTCACACTGGACTGTACACACACCCCCCCCCCCCCCCCCGTCTTCAATGCTCTTTAGGCCAATTTATACTTCTGCGCACCTCCCCAAAAATTTAACTACATGTCACGGCGAAGCGAACTGTGGTCGGTTGGCTTGGTGGCATCGCATTTCTGGCTTGTCCTTTTTCTGCATGAACCAGTTCAACAGTGGTGACATACCATCTCCTCCACATGCTCATAACGGCCTACATGACACAGATGTATGAATGTGCCTTTCACGCACTTACGAAAAATGTCAATGTCTGCTGATATTGTTTTCAGATAGTCACATAATGGAAAGTTGTTTTCTCCACACATAACAGGAGCTCAATGAAAAGCTCCATGAAAAGAAAAGTCAAATTTACTCTCAAAAGCCTAAATCCTAGAGATCCATGTTGGATTTCTCTAAATTACGTCGGACAAGCAGAACCAGTCACATTTTTATTGGTTTTATTGCATTTTCCTCTGATTTACTGGTAACTAAAATATGTTTGTTGGCAAGTGTGTACAGTGTGTACACACACACTCTTTTCTGCACAGCTTGTTCAATGAGCACCTCATCTTTATCGAAAAAAATTTATAACCACTTCACTTTGGACTGAACCTGATCTCAATCACTGATGACTAAACTATTCCACTAGAACAGGACTTCACATTATAAAAGATAACTAAATTGTATACGACTCTTTGATTCCAAAGAGTTTTTACTCAAGCCTGGCATGTAAGACTTACTGCACGCTCCATGTAAAACGGTCACTATCCGATCCACTTGCACAGCACCGAAGCAGGAGATGCATACAAGGCCTGCCTTTGGGCAGCCCGTGTGAGCTAAAGAAATTATTATTTAAAATGTATCCAGAGAGCCTCCACTGATTAGCTGCGCTCCTCTGTACAAGTGAATGAGGAAATCTGTGATAAACTGAACCACAGGTTGAGGTTGGTTGTCTCAAAAAATGTGGACGTTAAGGATTAGTTTCAAATAATTCCAAGCTGTTTTCTGTCCTGGATCATATTTTCAGCCATGTCTGGTCACAGTTAAGCAAAAGGTCGACAGGAATGAAGCTTGGGAAAATTGGGTTTGGTTTAAAACCACTAAAAGCATCTGGGTGTGCCATATGTAAACTGATCAATACATGTCTTCCGGTTTTCCACACACATGCACACTTGAGAGCCCTTAAAAAAAGTTAGTTTTCAATATTTTTAGTGAGAGTAGAGACTGAGATGTTAGCAGGTTGCAGAGTGTCAACCCTATCCAAGCAGACTGACTTTGGCAGCACCACATTAACGAGAGCGTTTAAAAAAATGCTACATCATGGTTAAAGTAAGACTTGTTCAAAAAGCAAACTGAATTTAAAACTCTGGAATGACAAAACTAAAACTGTTCAAGATACATTATAATGCGCAATAGGTCACAGTGAAATATGTGGAACAACAAACAGGCCACCTTAGTTTGAAATCCTTGCTTGATCTTTGTCGTAAAAGTCTGAGACAAACAAGGCAAAGATGGAGGGGAAATCTAAATATCAAAGGCCCTGAAGAGGTTTCCACATCCTACACATTTTTCTATTTTCAAATTGCAAATGCTTTTTTATATAGACACAGAGGTTTTCTCTTTCAAGGGAAAGCAATATCATAAAATGAGCTACAGTAACTTAATTTCATTTTATTTGAATGCGTTTCCTACATTTAAGACATTGTTTCACCGTGCTTTCATTTAGTAAATCAGTGACTCTTACAATATTGGATATCTCATTTTGGAACAAACCTCTTCATACTAAGCGTCTGCTAAATTTGCCTCAGGTAACTTAAGTTTGTGTATCTCAAAAGCGCTCCTACTCTTGAGACACACACGACACACACACACACACGCGCGCGCGATCCTAAAGCAGACTGTGTTAAGAGCTTCGAATCAAAGGAAAATGAAAAACAAAAACAAAGCCAGGAGAGAGGATCTGATCATCAAAGACTTTTGTTTCGGCTCAGCTCAGAAGTAGAGACTTCAGAGTGACTCGTGTTATGCTTTTAATGAGACGGGTAACACTTTTCCCCTACTTCTTTCCTTCATTCCTTCCCCGTCTCCTCTCTTCACTGCAAGGCTCCTCAGTCAGGTCATTCGAGGGGGAGGGAAGGAATGTCACGTCGGCAAGGAACGGTTATGGTTTGCAGACCTGTGGGAAAATATAATTATATTATTGTGGCAAGCAGCAATATACTGATTTTATTTCAAGATTTTCACAAGGGATTTTCCTTTACCTTTTAGTAGAGGAAAAAGAGACGTGTTCTATGAGAGGTGGCCATATTCTCTGACATGTTGCGGACTTTAAGGTAGTTGACGAAACCCCTGAAGAACAGCAGGAGACCTGTGGAGGGAAAGGACGGTTCACAGCACAGAACCTCAGCAAAATAATGCAGGATTAAGGACTTTAAGGGGGGGAAAAAATGCATCATTTCACATTGCAAAATACTCACCGAGCAACAGGAAAATCCACCAGAGCCAGTATTGACCATTAAAGTAGCCAGTGAAGTAGTCGGAGAACTGGAGAAAAAGACATTCATTCATCGCTTTCAGTTAATATACTGAATATTATAATTACAAAGGACCCATAATCCTACAGTGTTTGTAGGACCCAGTGATACCTGCTGTACTCTTTCTATTCCAGATTAATATATATATATTTTTTAATTAGTCTTAGTCCTGTGTCACATGTCCTTGTTATCATAATAAATCATCCAGATATTTTTGGTCAAGTTTTACTTGACTAAAAGTCTGGGCAAATTAGTCAAAGACAACCGTAACTATTTTAATATAGTTTTAGTCAATAAAAACTGACATTTTAGTCTTTTTAGTATCAGATTATAAAGAACTTTTCAGTCAATCAACAATAATTTATGCGTGTAACCCATAGACTGTTTAAACACGGACGCAGTGTTCGTGATGTCACCCATAGGTTTCTGAAGAGCCATCTTGGCAGTCCCTGACTCTGGCTAATCCAAAAATGGGCAAAGCGGTGGAGCTGAGGCAGGATATCATACTGCATTAACTGGGCAGCAGGTTAAACCTCGGCACAGATCTTAAAAGGGAAAAAAAACAAAAACAAATACAGACCCTGACGATAAGAATCCACTTGATGAGGGAAAGTCCGAAGCCGCAGATAGCTCCATAGCGTCCTGCGATGGTATTGGTCAGACAGAAGGACAGGCAGAACCCAATCCAGTTGAACAGGAAGGCCACTAGAGGGACAAACACAGGGCTGTCAGCACTTTAATCTCTTCCGTGCGGATCACGTAACGGAGCTCACGGGAAAAACAAGGGGAGGTGGACTCTCTACATAAACAAAGGTTGGCACACAGATGTCAGTGCTGAACAAATCATGCAGCCCTCACTTAGAAACCTTATTCATAAACTGTAAACCTTTCTATTCACCACAGGAGTTTTCTTCGATTGTTCTTCATCTAAATTCCACCTCAGGCCTGCGTTAGTGAGGCGTTACTAAACCTGGCCAACCAGATGACTAACGAGAAAAACCATCCAGACTCCCTGCTCATTGTTCTGTGGGACTTCAACAGAGCAAACCTCAACCATGAACTTCCAAAGTACAGACAGCATATTAAGTGTCCCACCAGGGACACTAACACACTAGACCACTGCTACACTATATTAAAGGACACCAATCGTTCTGTTCCCCCATGCAGCCTTGGGACTCTCCGATTACCGTCTGGTTCATCTTATACCAATATACAGGCAGAAACTGAAATCTGCTAAACCTGTTGTAAAGCCTGCGAAAAGATGGATCAAAGAGTCAAAGCTGGATTTACAGGCCTGGACGGACTAACTGACACTGACATCTTAAATCAGTTTTTGTGAGGACATGTTTGTGCCGACTAAAACCATCCGCACAAACAACAACAACCAAAAAAACCTGGTTCACAGCAAAACTCAGGCAGCTTCGTCAGACCAAAGAGGAGGTCTTTGGAAGTGGGGACAGAGTTTTGTATAGGACACTCACTAACCACCATCCCCCATCACTGCTGGTACAGTCACACTCCAACACCATCTTCAAAACAATCATCTTTCCCCACTGCCACGCTGTCACGAGAAGAACGTTCACCATCCATTTACAACAGAGACAATCCTGAGAGGTATATTTGAATTACACCAGGTTTGTCAGACATTACCTTGGCAGTGAAACAAAATTTCACACTTTGACAGATTCACACATGATCCTTCATTCAAAGGTGTATGGTCATGACTTACGTTTACACCTTAACCAACGATTGTTTACATTGCTCAGGGGTGTGAAACCTTGGTAAAACAAATAATCCCGGCTCTTGCCCTCTTCTGCTTTCACAGAAAATGTTAACATGAGACGGACTTACTGAAAAAAGCCAACATGAAGATTCCATCGTTCCCAACTCGAAGCTGATCCGCGTCACTGAAGTCGTCTCTGGGTGGGAATTCTTCATCCTGACATGGACACACACCATATGTAAATATAACATGTTTGGTTATAAATATACAGTGACAGACACAACTGCTACACAAAGTCAACAGATGAGTCTACATGTTTCTAAAACAAAAACATAAAACAAAAGGAGATTTAGGAATGTGTGTGAGCGTTTGTCCTCACCCGTGGCATCACCTCCACAGTGGAGGTAGCCATGGCGGCCGCTTTGGCCTTCTCCGCTTCGTCATATGTGGGCAGCGAAGTGGCGACGCTGTAGGGCGGAGGCACTGGGAAGTCACTTCGGAAACTAGTCTCTGTGGGAACGACGAAGACTGTTACAAAAGAAATAAAGGGGACCGCATGCAGTGTCTAGCTAAGGAGCTGCGGTTGATGTGGTAATGCAGTCATGGAAACGAACGCTGACTCATGAGTAAAGACACTCCAACATTTGCCACAAAACTGCTGCTGCTGCTGCTATTTTAGGATGTATGCAACGATGCTTTGGAAAAACAAAGTTACTGCTTAGAAAAAGTACATTTAAAAAGAACTATTCCTTTTCTGCATACCGGGTGCTGCAGCAGTTGCTCCCAGGTCAATGGAGGCGTAAGGAGGTGGAGGGGCCTCTGCTCCCCCCTGAGTGCTTGATCCCGATGCTTCCCCTGCTTCTGGGGCTAGTGCCAGGTTGGCTGGGGTCTGGCTCTGGTCCTGGCTGGATGTACCAGCCTGGGCTGTGGCAGAAGTGCATGGCTGCTGCTCGCTGGTCGAGGCCTCTGAAGAGTCATCCTCATTGTGCAACTGGAAGAGAGGACGAGACAAAGGGGGGAGGGGGAGGGGGCGCGTTAGAGGAGTGAGCACAAGAGGATCAGCTGATCAGTCAGCCAAAAAGTGTGTGCTGCTCAAGGGGATGCTCACAAGTTCCTAAAACTGGCATCAATCTTGTACTTTCTGCGTGGCTTTCTGAAGCTGAGAAAAGTACAAATATGTAAGCATAAATCATGGACCCCACCCCCCAACTGATGCTAGCTGCCACTTGACTAAAATACCGTAAATGTATTACATTTGGGGGATTTCAGATAAGTGTAATAGTCAGATATCAGTGCTGTTTTCTACAACAGCACCAACATCCGGCAGTTATTATGTAACAAAATGAGCTTTGCACAGTCTGTTTTTGTCTGTCAACACAAAATGTAGTTCAGGCAGAGCTGAATGAGTGGGTTCACATGGGCAACACAGTGTGTGTACAAGAACTACTTTCAGTAACATACAGTACGTAATGGGCTACATGGATTAGAACTTAATCTAAAATGCCAAGAACAGGGTACCCTTTAAAATATTTTAAGTGCATTTCTTCTTATCAGCTCCTAAGATAAAACATAGGCGACATATCTGCAAGGACAAAGTTATCTGCTGGGGCCTGTCTACGTCATGCAGAACCTGCGTATGCATTCGTCTAAAAAGCATGCTAGAAGGTGCTTAGGGAAAAGATGATGCTGACATCAATCAACCGCTTGGACAATTTATTCCTGCTTAATTTGTTTTAATATGCACTTTTAAAAAAAAGGTACAGTCCTTAAGATTTTCATGAAATCAAACACATAGTTGATAATATTTATGGCCTGTAGTTGTTCTGCAACAGCTCTTTAATGTATTTATATTCAGAAATGACCTCTCTATATTGTAGTTTTTACTGGTAGTGGCAGGGTCCACCATTCCCACATTGGACTCAGATTGCCAACCAAAGCACAAGGGAGGTAAACCAAGTAATTGATAACAGCCTCACTGTGTACTCTTTACACCATAACCAGAGCTGTATAACATTTCCCATTGCCGCTGCTTGACGTTAAACACGGGGTGGCCTTTACTTTGAAGCTGCCACAGGATTCCGCTGGTTATCCGGAAGTGTGCTGTGGAATAAAAGTACAAGTATGTCTGCTGGGCAGCGTTTGCCCTCAGCAGAATGTTTGACACCGAAAACACAGAGATGGGAGACCACATTGGCACGCCAGACAGACTCTTGAAATGCGATACACCTGTAATGAGTTAATTAGTGTCCCCGCTACAGCTGAGAGTCAGTTGCAGTAAACTCATTTTAATTGGCCCAACGAGCCAATCGCCATCTGAAATTACACAGGGCCGAAAGCGGGAAATCTGGTTGGGCAAAGTGAGGGAGCGATTCCCCCTCCTCTTCTCTGCGACTTCCAGCAAAGACAGACAGCTCCAGGCCCAACAATTCACTGTACAATACTGTGAACTACAATGACAATAAAACGGATACTGACCATGACAAAATACAACTTATTTTGCTTTTAAATCCTATAATATCAGGCCAAATATCGGCGAAAAGTTGTGGTTTTATAGTTTATTTACTGGCATCTCACCTTAAGAGTAATGCTATATTATCTAGTATAAACAGATAACAACCACAGACTAATCATGTTAGCTAACAAAGGCTCATCTCAGTGTTGCTGAGTCAGTTCAACTCCCTCACAGCTGTAAAACAAACATCTGAACAAAGTCAGGGAAAAGAAGAAGCGACGGCTGTCAGAATAAATTCTTAGTCCACAACACAAGGTCCAGGTGAGGATGACTACTGTTATATCAAACATCACAACCTTTCTGCTTCTAACATCTTAGTCTAATACCTTCATAGTGTTTGCAAGATTGGAAAGTTGATGTGGCAGGCAATTTTAGATGTAGCTTTGGTTTTGACCACAAGTATGTTGAAACCTAGTTCACCGAGTTTCCATGACATAAGGGCATAAATCGTGACGTGGTGTAACATCCGATGTCACAGGTGACTAATAGGAGGAGAGCTGAATTAACTACTGATTATTTAAAGAAAAAGACAGTCATAAATGAGAGGAAATGTGTTTTTAATCACCACGCAGAAAAACTTCTCAAAACATCCTGTAATAAAAAAATCCCCAAAGAAACAGGGTCGATGTATAAGGCAGCGACTGGCTCAGAATCAAGGACATAACATACAACACACCCCCACGCAACAGGGGGATTACATAAGATTGAAACAGCATCGCCACAAGCCCCCTCGTGTGTCCAAATATACCCAGAGCTCATGCAGGCCTGCTCAGAGCAGCAGTGGCCCATACTTGCAGAAATCTGAGTATTACTGAGAGAAGAAAGAGAGCTAGAGGGCAAAATGTGGGGAGGAATGAAGAGTGTGTAAGCGTAGCCGTAATGAAATGAAGATGGGGCTGTACACAAACCACAACATCAGATAACTTATCAGTTTGCCCTGAATGGGTTGAACTGCACAGTTTCTAAATAATCCTTGAGAATCCATTGCCTGTTTGTGTTGAACGAATGTTGTGTTACGACAACTGGATTATAGTTGAAAATCTGCACTTTGTTCAGGGTTGAAAAGTTAGAGCACAACACTGATTTTCTTTGGCTCACACTTAAATCCTGTGGGATTATCACTTGCATTCCCAGAACCGCAGGCATCAGAGCACAAAGCAGACTTTATGGCAAAGACGTGTACAGAACTGGAAACACAATGTTTCCCAGAAAAATTTCCAGCCAAAGAGTACTTTACAAGCCTAACAACACATGTTTAATGCTAGTTAACAGAGACATTCACCACATTGTGAGGTTGCCAACTGTTTTAACTAAACATCCAGATGTCTTTTGACTAGGAACACATTTTCTTCTTTCTTCTTCAATTTTCAAGAATTTCTTAGTAAGAATCTCTGCCAGGAGATAATACCTTGGAAAAGTTAGTTATTAGGTTATTAGTTATTTGTTTAATTCCCATCATAGGACAATCTGGACTATGAATACTCAGCCGGGGTGTAAATAATTTGGCTAAGAGACTCAAAAAAGTCCCTTAAACCACAATAGATGTTAGCCAGCTAATAAACTCCCATGCTAACACAAGCTTAAAACTAAGCTTGTCAACACTTGTGTTAGCTTGTCAACTGCCGTGTAACTTAAAACAGGTTTTATAGTTAGTAAGTAAATACACCCAAGCGAAGGCATATTAAGTGTCTAGCACAGTTTATTCGGACGTTAACTTTCAAGGCCTACGAGAGCAAGGCAACATCTTGGCTGGCTAGCTACAGTTAGCCTAGCCGATGCGGAAGTGGCGCTTGATGAGGCTAGCTATCAGAACAAAACAATTCGATGAAATATACAAAGCCGAAGTACAACAAAGGTAACAAATCAGAAGACATTTAAGAGGCTTTGTTTCCGTGTCTATGTGACATAACTCATTCTAACCGAAGAGTAAAAAAAATTAGCAATGCCTTAATTTTAGCAAGGCCTTGCTTCCTTGTTTCCACGAAGGCCGAGCTATCATATGATCTGTTCACACTCACCACTTGGTATCGGCTTGCTGGGTCCATCCCGACGAGATTCAGCTGGCAAGCGAGCCAGCCGGGGAAAAAACACGAAGGAAATCTAACTTGTTGTTGCTCCTAAGTTTGAGTTAACGCACACGAGATACTTCTCTCAAACAAGGCTGAACAGACTAACAACGGAAATGGCTGCACTCTACAGCGAACTCAGTTAGAAAAACAGCGTTGTTGGCAAAACGTTGATCATCTTGAGTCAAGCTCCTCCTCAAAGCGGATACTGCCGATCAGATATTTCAAAATTAAATACATACTAACGCGTCATTTTTTATTTTTTTGATACATATATATATTTTTTTTTTTTTCGGAGATATATTGACATTATAAACACAAAACATCCATGGGTACATGTACAAAACAAACAATTTTTAAAACATAACGCAGATCATCGGTCCATAAGAAAGTCTTCATTGCCTTCTTAATTTATTTCATCGTGGTGCTATATTGATGCACTACTTGAACTAACGTAACTAACGTGTAAAATTTGTGGGTAACAGAATACCAAAAGCTACAAGTATTTAAAGCTATGGTAGGTAGCGATGGATAAACTAGCAAAAGACAGCTTGATTTTGACATTATCTAACTGAACCCAGCCCCTTCCTTCAAGCCTCCCTCCAAAGCCACTGGCCAAGATACAATATTCATGAGCAGTGAGTGCGTGCAGATAGGCAGGTATCTTAGGTTTACAGTCCTGCAGCAGCCACTGATACAGGACTTTTAACATGTTTGTGTCAGGGCATGTGATTTATTGATTGCTGTCGGGAGATAAAGAGAATTTCGACAAACATAACAAACCATGCTTCTAAAATAAATTGCCTGCCCTAGCTTTAATTAGTGAAAACCTTTGAACTGCAGGGTCTCTGCCTTTAAATCTTAAAAGTACAAAAGTATTATCATCAAAATATACTTCTATATATACTATATAAGTATAAAAAGTAAAAGCAATCATTAAGCAAAACAGGCTATGTGTAAAGCTGATAATACACAGAGCAACTTTTAGAGCAATGGTGCTGGGCAATGTTGCCATCAATGGAAATCAGTAAAGATTACTACTATAATCCCTTTCCCACCGCTATCTGTTCAAAAATAGTCGGACTTGCCACCAGCAACAATGCCCAGCAACATTGCTCAAAAAGTTGCCCAGCTTTACACAATGTGTAATGTTATTGTATATTAATACTGATTTCTTTACACACATGGTCAATTTGAATCATTTATAAACTCTTGGTAATCCATAAAATTGCATTATATTTTATAAACTGACTTGTGTTTTGTATGTAAAATCTTAATTTGCTATTACAGCTGCTATTATATGTAGGGAAGATGTATAATAATCTCACATATATTAGCCTAAATACCATACTTTGCCATAAAAGCAAATATATTTGATGGTGATGTATTCCTTTGTGCAGAATGTATTTTCTAAATGTGTAATTGTTTGGTGTTCCCATGATGACTGTCATTATTTTGAAGTATTCTGCTGAAATGACTGCTCTATGTGTTTTATTTTGAAGGCAGAATCCCCTTGTTTCCGATTTCAGTGTGACACTTGCTAACTTGATTTTGACTGGATTTTCACGGATTGAGCAAGCGTGATGACGCTAATGCATAAAAAAAAGAGAAAATAAATGGGCCACTAAGTGGAGCCAAAGCCCACTTACATTACCACCACTAGCTGCTCACTATGAGGTTTCAAATCATGAAAAGATGATACATGCGTCAGTCTTTCAAAGACATACAGGTTGTGTGTCAGAAAAATGTAAGTAATTACTAAATTACCTAAAGTGAGTTACATTTTAAAGCACTTTGTACATATTTTTCTTTAAATGTTAATTATTAAAGGTAGCAGCCGAAATAGGCCAAGGAGAAGGGTTTGGCAGTAGGCCTATCAGCTCCACCAATACTTCCACATCACATTGGTTGAAAGACAAATGCTCTGAAACATCTGTGCCCTCTATATACTCTTTGACATTCTGTTTAATGTTGGTTCTAGCTTCTAGAAGACTTTCTTCGTTCAGATGTTTTGCTGCTACAGCCTTACTTGGTGTAGTATTATTAGTGACTTATGACTTATAACTAGTGGCAGCAAATGTTAGCAAAGTTTAGGTAGACTTTGCTGTGTACCTGACTGAGTCAGTTCTCTAATGAATTTTCTCTACACTATAGGTGCTTTCATACTGCATTATTTTCCAGGAGTATTGCACCAATATGCCAGCTTGCTGCGCTGTATCAAAGGCCAGATTTGATTCATATCTGAGCCAGCAACGCTGCAACGATGTCTGAATGGCCACATGCTGGAAGAGGTGTGACATTTTGATGATGTATTGGATGTGCCACCCGCCACCAGCAGATTTGAAAATCTCTGAAGAAAACTCTGAACAGTTTTCAGCTAATCAGAAGAAGAGCACTGTTGACAGTATTACTTGGGTTTGCTGTTAGGATTTCAACACAAAGACATTTTATGTAAGCATTACAAATACAAGGTTTTCAGTTAAATAAAACATACTCAGCATCATAATTGAACATTTCAATATCGATCAGCTGCTCACTCGCTAATAGGGTCCTCCAGATGCTTTGTGGAAATAAGTATGTAATACAATAATAAAATATTAATACAATAAACAATCTTGTAACTCAGCATATCATACATACATAGGTATATATTAACAGAGAAATATGACTGCTTAGACAAACTGTAACTTTTTGTCTTAACTGGATGAGTGCACAGAGATGTGAGCAAGACTAATTTCCCACACGTAATAAGTAAAATATTAGTAGCACAAAGACCTCTGATAAACATTACAGGCTTGGTGTTGCATGAACAACACTAATATACAGTTACACATCAGGTGTGGGTAGTTTTAAAATAAAGTCTGAAAGCCTCTAAAATTTTAAGTGTTATCTCTAGGGTCTAAATTAGGGTTCTTATGTTGTGAGTTCAAAGCTGTTGTCAGGCTAAAAATGGACAACTGTCTTGTCAACCTCGTGATCTCTGCAGAATTTTGTACTAGTGGCCCACTGTGTTGAACAGCTACACTTAAATGAGATTGTGTAAAACAGATGTTTAACATAGTTGGTCCTTTTTGAAGAAAACCTTGTGTCTACAGTGTAAAGAATGGCTCAGTATGTTAGATAGCTGTATTGAAATTGTATGGTTGTTGGTTCAACCCTGAGTCAGTCAGAAGAACAAAAAGTATTGTCAAAGCCTGTGGCACAGTGCGTTAGATTGCTTCTGACAAGTTGTAAGGTTGTAGGGTCGAACCAGAGCCAGTTTGTGCTTTGTCTCTGTTTAGTCAAGATTAAAATGCTTCAAAATCAGTTTCAGCTAGTGTTGTCAAGTTGCTCAAACTGTTGTTGTTGGATGTTTAATAGTGCTGAACCTGTGAGTACAATCCTCAGTCGTTGAATTTTAAATTCAGACACCTCGTTTGAAGATTAAAAAGCTCAGACAAAAACACCTGGCCAGGATGATGTTTAGCACTAATTAGCAAATATCTGCAAATTACTGCATCTTGACTTCTGCATTTAGTTCAGGTTTAACCTCACTGTTTCCTAAGTAGAAGTAAAATGAATGTGTTAAGTGTTGTGGGTGTCCTAGCTGTGCAGGTGAATTAAATTATGCTACTATTGTTGTAGGCCCAGTGGCTCAGTGTGTTAGAAGGCTTTTTTTTTGTATGTGTGTTTTGAGGAAGTCCAACACCCAAACTGTGGCCTGAAAAGCGGTTCTAGAAAATTTCAGTAGCAGGCTGACATATTGTTTTTTCTAACACATATTGTGTTAGAAGACTCAGCAGTAGTTTGGAGACTGTGGTTCAACGCCCCAATAAGCGTTTAAAGTACAAAACACGAAGACTAAAAGGCTTTAAGAAATAATGCTATTGTTGTCTCAAGTTCAGTGGCTTGGTGTGTTAGAGGGGTTCTCCAGAAAGTTTGAGGTTGTGGGTTAAATTCTTGACTAACTTTATGATGGTCTAACACTCCGAGGACTGAAAAGCTTACAAAATGAAGAGTTCAGTGCCTTTGACCCACTGGTTTGGTGAGTTAGATACCTCTACAGGTGTTTGGAGTACGTGAGTTCAATCCGATCAATCAATATTGAAGTTGGATGTCCAAAGGAAAAGTGAAATGCTCTATGAAAGGTAGTTGAATTGTCTCAGATCAAATAACCATGGGGGTTAGAGGACTGATCTGAAGGTCTGAGGATGAGTTCAAACATTTGGGTAACTGCAATTGGAGAAGAATTGATTTAAATGTATAAATGAGCAAGATTGAATGTGTTTATAGTTCTTTCATTGCCTTGAAGATTACATGCATACTGAACTAACCAGAAATTACATTCAACTATTAGCTAAATTAGCATGTTTTAATCGCACTTGTTCCGCTAAAGCTAATGCAGTCCTGGGCTTACTGAGCTGTCTCTCAGTACGAACATTGGCTTGTTGGTCATTCTTTAAAAAGTTCACAGTGAAACTCATCTTTAAAATCCTTAGTCTATGGCTACTGACTCAGACCAGCTCAAAGGCAAGATTTGTTTTACTCAAGTTTGTAAGTCTGCAGAATATGTCAGTCAACCAGCCCAGGGCTAAGTATGAAACCCTTAGAACCGTCCTGAGTCAGTAGCGTTCGATTTCGATTTCAAAGTTAGGTAAATTTTGAAAGCAGACATCTCATTTGTTGAAAAGGAAAGACAAACAAACCAATGTTCGTACCGAGAGACAGTTCAGGATGATTAACTGGCCTCAGTCAACAGGCCCAGGGACTCAAGGCTAAGTATGTTAGCTTTAGCTGAACAAAGGGGATTACAATACGCTAATTTAGCTAATAGTTGAAATAATAGTCCAGTGCATGTAATCTACAAACCAATGAAAGAACTTCACAAACACTTTCAATCTTACTTATTTATACATTTAAATCCATTGTTCTCCAATTGTAGTTGTTTGCAGCATGTGCTCCCATCTACGTTACCACCAGGTAAAAGGGCCAAAACAGAAAGTGGAAGAGTCCACTTTGGGAACCCAGACTGTACTAAGTGGGGTAGAGTACAGTGAGTGTTTGGTTGTTGGATGGGCACACGCTTCAAACATTTGGGTCACTGAGATTGGATATCAATTATTTCAATGTCTAAATGAATAAGATTTAATGTGTTTGTGTAGTTCTTTCATTGGCTTGTAGATT